ATACCTTTCACTAAAGTTACATTACACTGTATCATATTCTTGTTGAAAGGACATGCAAGAAATGAAAAAAAAAAAAAGACTATTTAATACAAGGGGCCTGATTATGAAAAGAACCTGCACATAACAGATTTCTCATTTCAGTTTTGAAAAGTTTGACAATGACTTCTGTGACTCATAACAATAATAATAGTAGCTTACATTTATAAAGCACTTTAAAGTTCGCAAAACACTTTACACACATTATCTAATTTGAGCTAGAAAATAAACTTATGATGGAAGTATTAGATAGCTTGTTACCCTCATTTTACAGATGAGGAAACTGAGGTTCACAGAAGTGACTTACCCAGTCACACAACCTATTAAATGTCTGACCAAGCTCTAAGCTCTCCACAGTGCCTGCCTCAATGGCTGTTGGAACAAATTGTTCTCAGCTGCCCGTTCCACCTGGGGAAACTTGGAGTAGACACCTCCCCCAACTCACCACGTGTTTGAGGCCTGTCAGTTACCCTCAACCTGGTTTAAGCTCATTTGCTGAAAAAGTTTATCAGGATGTGACCACCAAACAGGCTACAGTTTCTGGGAGCCACAGATAAGAATGATGAATCTGGGGGACACCAACGTTGAAAAGCATATGAACATACCTCAAAAGAATTAATATGAACATACCTCAAAAGAATTGCAACCTACTGCCAACCATATAAAAACATACTAGAAATCACGATTAATGAGAGAAATAAAAATTAAAACATCTTTGAGGTTTCATGTCATAACCTTTGAAATTTTTTTTTCAAAACAAAAATAAGACAGCTTTGGAAGGGCTGTGGGATGACAGGCATACCACTGGTGGCACTATGAATTGATTCAACCATTCTGGAAAACAATTTAAAATTAAGCAAAAGAAAGAAAGTTCACTAACTGTTGAACCTGAGATTGTTCTACTGGGCATATACCCCAAGGAGGTCAAGGGCAGAAAGAAAAGTCCCATAAATTTTATATTTATACACACACACACACACACACATAATATGTACATATGTATAAACACACACATAATATATGTATATGTGTAAACACATACATATATATTAAACTGTCTAGAGATTATACGACAATTAAATAAGGACTGTTGATTTCATGGGAGAGATTTGGTGAATCGTAAATGAAATACAAGTCACTAAGTACTAGGAGGTTCTGTTTTAAGCCACTGGAAGAATGAGTAAAGACTGGAGAACCAGGGAGGTGAAGATTGAAGAAAAGACATAGAATTAAAATCTCTTTTGGAACTATGTTAAATTGTAGCATCTGGAGAGTGAGATAATAGAAAATTATAACTAAGAGATTTTTAACTAAGACACTAGCTGTGTGACCCTGGGTTATGCTGAATTAACTGTTTGCCTCAGTTTCCTCATCTATAAAATGAGCTAGAGAAGAAAATGGCAAAGCATTCCAGTATTTTTACCAAGAAAACCCTAAATGGGGTCACAGAGTCCTATAGAGCTGAAAGGATGGAACAACAACAATAACTACAAGATTCCTAATTGTGATGATAATTTTCATGTCCCTCCTCAAATTAATCAGCATTTGCTCAGTTCATTGCGATTTGATGGATATCAGTGATTTTGTTAGTAAATTAAGCAGAACAGGATTAAGTTTAAGTTAGCTATGTTAATGCAGGTAGAATTAAAAGTCATGATTGACTAATCCATTATGTATTGACAATTGTATTAATTGTATTTGATTCATGAGATAGATTCTAACTGTATCAGTGAGGCATGTAATAAGGATTTATTAACACTCCTCCCATTGCCAGTCTAAGTACACTGTATTTGAAATAAGGTTCATGTGCTGCAAATAATGCCCCTCACCTCTATGAATCACTACTGTCCACTCCCTTGTGACCTTTGCTTCAAACCCATAACTTACTTGGACCCTAGGCTACTGTTGGTCAAAAATTAGCGTCTTATGACTTGTGGAAGGCTCTGTGATGTTATCGAAAGGGTCTTGTGACCTTTGGAGAGTTCCTGCTGAAATGAGCTGGAGTTGACAACCTGTGGAAGGTCTCATGACCTGTAAAAGCCTGTTGACAAAGTGGTTATAATTGATGGACATTTCCTTTAGCCAACCACAAGATTTCCCCTCTTCTGGAATTGACCAATCAGTGTATTGTAACACCTTCTTCTTTTTTCAGTGGTCTCCTAAGTGTATAAAAGTAGCCAGCACCTAAGGGGAGAGGGGTCCTTGATCATGAGGAAGGTCTTGGACCCAATTTATTAGGGACCACCAATATCCTTAATAAATTGAATATGCCTGGAGTTCTGTCTGAGTGACAGATACAGATTGGAATTCTGTGGACCACATAATTGAAGAAAGTTTCCATCTCATTGCATAAGAGTTTCAGCGTCTTTAGTGCCCATAGGGTTAGAGGCACCTGAAGCCTCTCAAAAGTGCATGTTGCTTTCTGCTGCTAGCTCTGGTTTGAGAGGAAAAGCAAAGGGGGTAAGAAAGGTTTTGCCCTTTATTTGCTGAAAGTTCTGTTTATACAAGCTGATTGACCAGCAAAGTTTCATTCACCTCTGTGAATGAAAAACTGCTTGGGCTTGTTGGCCTTGTTCAGAGGGTCAACTTGAACTGCTTTGCTGTGAGCTCTGATACAAGTGGAACCTTAATGAGTGAAGAGCTGAGCTAGGTGGGCTTGTCTGCCTTGCCCATTCATTCATTCATTCAATAAACATTTATTATATGCTTACTATGTTGCCAGAAACTGTGCTAAGCAAATACAAAAAGATATAAAAAGAGACAAAAGACAGTCCCTGCCTTCAAGGAACTTACAATCTAACAGGTGAGACAACATGCAAACAAATATATACAAACAAGCTATATGCAGAATAAATAGGAAATAATCAAAAAAGGGAAAGCACTGGAATTAAGAGAGGTTGGAGAAGGTTTCATGTAGAAGGTGAAATTTTAGTTGGGACTTAGAAGAAGCCAGAGAGGTCAGTGGTTGGAGCAGAGGAGGGAGTGTTTCAGGCATGAGGGATGGTCAGAGAAAATGCTAGGAGCCAAGAGATGGAATATCTTGCTCATGGAAGAGCCAGGAGGTCAGTGTCACTAGACTGAAAAGTATGTGTCAAAGAGGAAAATGTAAGAAGGCTGGAAATGTAGAAGGGAACTAGGTGATGAAGGGCTTTGAATGCCAAATAGAATATTTGATATTTAGGGAGAGGAGAAGCAACTGGAATTTATGAGTAGGAGGGTGACATGATTGGACCTGAGCTTTAGGAAAACTACTTTGGTAGCTGGAATGGAGGATGGATTGGAGTGGAGAGATACTCGAGGCAGACAGACCCACCAATAGGCTATTGCAGTAATCAAGACATGAGGCGATGAGGGTCTGCACTAGAGTGGTGACAGTGTCAGAGGAGAGAAGGGGGCGTATTTGAGAGACGTCAAGGTAAAATAGACAGACCTTGGCAACGGATTGGATATAGGGGATGAGAGATAGATTATGAGTCTAAGGGACTGGGAGAAGGTTGCCTTCCATGGTAATAGGAAGGTAGGAGGAGGGGAGGGATTAGAGGGAAAGATAATGAATTCTGTTTTGGACATACTGAGCTTAAGATGCTTACTGTACATTCAGTTCAAGATGTCTGAAAGGCCGCTGGAGGAGAGAGATTGGAAAAGGTAGATTTGAGAATCATCAGCATAAAATGTTAATTAAATCCATGGAAGCTGATGAGATCACCAATGAAATAAAACAGAGGGAGAAGAGAAGAGGACCGAGGACAGAACCTGAGAGACACTTACAGTTAGAGGGTATGATCTGGAGGAGGATCCAGCAAAGGAGGCTGAGGAGGAGAAGTCAGTTAGGTAGAAAGAAATCCCAGTGACGTCCCAAAAACTTAGAGAGAAGAGAGTGATCAACAGTATTAAAGACTGCAGAGGTCAAGGAGAATGAGGATTGAGAAAAGACCATTGGATTTGGCACCTAGGAGATCACTGGTAACTTTGGAGAGAGCAATTTTGATGGAATGATAAGGTGGGAAGTCAGATTGTAAGGGGTTTAGAAGAGAGTGAGAGGAGAGAAAGTGGAGGTACCTACTGTTTATGGCCTTTTCTAGGAGTTTAGCTACAAAGAGCAGAAGAGATATAGTATAATAGTAGGATTGGAATGATCAAATAAGGGATGGGGAAGACATGGGCATGTTTGTAGGCAGTAGGAAAAGAGCTGGCAGACAGGGATAGACTGGAAATAAGTGAAAGAGTAAGAATGACAGAGAGGGACAATCTGTCGGAGGAGGGGGGATAGAATGGGATCATTTGAACAGGTAGAGGGGTTAGCTTTCAAAGGAGTAAAGCCACTTCATGTGACACAAGGGTGAAGGAGGAGAAAGTATCAGAAGGTACTTGGTGATAGCAGATGAGGAAGAGGGGAGAAGAGGGAGTTCACATTGAATGGCCTCACTGTTCTCTATAAAATATGAGCAAGATTTTCCACTGAGAGAGTGAGGGGTGGGAGAGCCATGGGAGGTTTGAGGAAGGTTGAAAAGGTTTGAAAATGCCACTGTAGAGAGTGGGATAGTGAACTGATTAAGGAGATGGAGAAGAATTGCCTAGCAGCAGTGAGGGCCCAAATGAAGCTATGTAACATAAATTTATAGTGGACCCGGTCAGAATGGTTATGTGAGTTTCTCTACCTTCATTGCCCAGAGAGTCAACTTAAGCTACTGTGCTGTGAATTCTATTTTCTACAAACTGACTGGGCAAAGAAGAATCTTAGTAAGTGAAGAGCTGGGTGGGCTTGTTTGCCTTGTGTAGAGAGTCTTGTACTACTTTGCTATGAGCCATGTTTCCTAGAAGTTGACTGGATAAAGCAGGATCCTGGTGACTGAACATCTTGACGAGTTTGTGATGTCCAAAGACAGCCAACCTAATAAGTTTCATAGTTCTCTGGCTTAAAAAGAACTGCTAACTATATTAAGAATATAAAATTTTCTCAGTACCTTTTTAAGAGTTACTGTGTAGACTGAGGCATGAACACTATGGGACCTGGATCTCTCTTTCCCAAAGGGAAGAAAACCAGAGGAAGACAGTGCCTGTAAAAGTAAAGAGTGATCTTTATTAAGCAGGTATAAACATGCATGTGAAGCAGACAGTCTATTGCTGAAACAGCTCAGTTTGGGGAAAGCAGGAAGTGATTTATATAATTTTCAAACAAAGGAGGCAGGAAATGGGCTGATCCTGGGAGGGAAGGGGCGTGTTATGGAGAGAGAGTTCCAGGCATGAGGTGGGGAGACTTCCAGGAACAAGGGCACTGACTTTTTGGTACACTGAACAATAAACAAAATAAACAGGATGAAGCAGAGAATCCAAGGCTCCAGTATAGACAAGATGAACAGTCTCCAAGAGTCCAAGGCTAAGTGATAGCTCAAGGGCCTCCCAACACTGGTTTGAGCTAAGTTAGTTTCAGAGTCACAGATTCTGCACTTCCAGCTGGGTTTACACTTGGTCACCACATAGGACTGTTGGATTGTCAAGCCATTCTGTATCCTGATTGGTCAAGTTAGTCCCATGTTGCTGCCCTCGCTTAGCTGGATAATTGGGGAGCTCAAGCAAATCAAGGTAGTTAGCATACACATTTTAACAACTGTAAGTTGAAGAAACTTGTTAAATACTTTTTTTCAATTCAACAGTAGAAGAGAAGAGGATATGCCCAGCTGGAGAGCAGTGAGGATCAGAAGAGGCAAAGTTAGCAGAGAAATATCTTCCTGCGGTACAGACATACCTGAATGGATCATTAATATACCCCAAACACATGAGTTTTCTTCATTCACTTGTTTCCCTATCAGAGTACTATAACTTTGTGCCCACTGTCCTCCATAAGTACTGAATATGATGGTGCATAAACCAGGTTTATGTATGGATTGAGGTATGTTTATTATTCCTGTTTTTGATTTAATGAGTCCTTGTGATATTAGTATTAATCTTGCCTTATCGCTAAGTATAGTAAATAGTTATACATAAGCCTTAAATGAATCATCTTTGTATGCAGCTAGTTTTGTATAAATAAAAGCATTCCATTTCAGGATTCAAGGTCTATATGGTGAGTGGGAATGTATTCTTTCCACAACAGGGTTACGCCCCAGACCCATGAGAGAGTTTGATTGTAACCATGTTGTTGTGGATCTCTGGGAATCTAGACTTACCAGTATGGACAGGTTAGGGTGAGTTAGCCAGTCCAGAGAAGCACCTATATGCTTTGTGTGAGAAGGTCAAGTTGCTATAGTTTGCATGGTTACCCCAAGCACACGCTACATGAAGATTTCATAAACATATTTATGGGACAGCTAGGTGGCGAAATATATAGAGCACCGATTCTGGAGTCAGAAGGACCTGGCTTTAAATCCAGCCTCAGACACTTAGTAGCTTTGTGACCCTGAACAAGTCACTTAACCTCAATTGCTTAAATATGTGTGTATATATATATATATATATATATATATATATATATATATGCGCATACATATAAAAATATGTATGTGTATGTGTATGTATATACATACACATATATTTGAATAAAAATATTCATATACTTGTGTAAAATTACTCTGAGTGAAGGAAGCAGACCCAGAACAAAACATACATAATAAAATAAAGGTAAAGAATGCCCAGAGCACTAGGCCTGGAGTCAGGAAAACCTGAGTTCAAATCTGGCCTCAGACCCTTACTAGCTGTGTGACCCTGGGCAAGTCACTTAAACTACTTTAGTTCTCTTATCTGTAAAATGATCTGGAGAAAAAATGAAAAACTACTCCTGTATCTTTGCCAAGAAAATCCCAAAGGGTCATGAAGAGTCACACACAACTGAAATGACTGAGCAAAAACAACAACAAAAAGAATATTAAAGAGAGAAGTTAAACACTCTATGTTCGGATAGATGATTCTGCTGTGTTTTTCAAATCATACTTCTGCTGTACCTGTAGCTGAGAATCTTCTTTGTTTTTTACCCATGTGATTACTTTGCTTTTTCTTCTTCTTTAGCTTCAGCCTGGAATAGTTTCAGTGAAGCACTTTTGCCTACTGTCACAGATCAGGGACAAAACTATACTACCCATTGGGTAAGAGAAGATTTTCATTAGTAAGCTCCTAGAGCTGAGATTAGTGTAAGAAGTAGGGAGGGTGGGACGGAAAGCTGCTACCACTACTAGGCAGAAATGTGTTTCTGACACTCAAAATTAGAAATTAGAACACATTTTCCAGTAGAAGTATTTGTTGGCTCTATGCCTGGGAGATTTGTTACTAGTCACACCTACATAAGAAAGGCAAAAATGTAGACTGGACATTGAAAGAGAACCATCTAGCCCTTTTAGTTTAGCTTTTGTGTTTGTTCAGGTTCATTTGCATGGCAAAATCCAGAAGATTTGAGGCTAAAGGAATATGGAGCCTCAGACCCTTTTAGCCCTTTGGAGTAATACTTCCCCCACCTCCCTTCACACATAAATATTTTGAACAGGAATAAAAGCTGACGGGTGCCAAGATGGCAGGGTAAAAGCAGTGACTTGCTTGAGCTCTCCCCAAACCCCTCCAAATACCTGTAAAAAAATGTCTCTAAACAAATTCTAGAGCAGCAGAACCCACAAAAAGACAGAGTGAAACAAACTTTCAGCCCAAGATGACCTGGATGGTTGATGGGAAAGGTCTGTTGCGTCGGGCTGGGAGAGGAGTGCAGTTCAGCATGGGCCCCAAAGGCAAAGACCCAGTCTCAGTGAACCTGGAGCAGTTGCAGCGGTTTCCAGACTTCTCCACCCACAAACACCAAAGACAACTTAGAAAGTCAGTAGGAAAGGTCTGTCAGACCTCAGTGAGAGAGGAGCTCATTCTGGCTCCAGTCCCGGCATGGCCCCAGTGTGGTGGCTGCTTCCAGAGCTCTGCACCCACAGACTGTGGGGGGATTGAGTGACTGATCAGAGGGGGAATGCAGGGATCTCTCTGCTGGTGCTGAGGCAGGACTCTCTTGCTTTGCCTGGGCTTGAATCTGGGTCCCAGTCCTGGGTGGCAGTCCTGGGGTGAGGAAGAGTGTTGGCATGGTGGAGCTCGTGGCGGTGGTGGAGAGAGAATCCTCACAGTTTCAAGGCAGAAAAGAGTGTTTGTGGTCACTCATAGACCAGAGCATAGGCCAGGAAAGGAGTAAACACTTCACCTTTGACCATATCACCTTGAAAGAACTGAAAATTTACAGGTCCCTAGAAATATCTCTGAAAACAGTTGCACAAAACCCCTGAAGCTTGGGACAATACATTCTCCACACTGGAAGCAGACCCCTACCTTAAAAAAGAGTGTAAAAGTCAAGTAATTGGCTGGAAACATGAGTAAACAGCACAAAAACACTCAGACCATAGAATGGTGACAAAGAAGATCAAAACATACAACCAGAAGAAGACAACAAAGTCAAAACTCCTATATCCAAAGCCTCTAAGAAAAATATGAATGGGTCCCAGGCCATGGAAGAGCTCAAAAAGGATTTTGAGAAGCAAGTAAGAGAAGTCCAACTGGTCCTTTACATAGCATTCTAAGTCTCATTGTCATGCCTTTGTCAGGACTCTTCCCCATCCCCGGAATGCACTTTCTCCTAACATCTGTCTCACAGAACTTCTAACATGCTTCAAAGCTCCATTCCAGTGCCATTTCATTCTGAAAGCCTGTCTTTCTGTCGATGATAATTTATTATATTGTGGGAATTTGGCATTTAATGTTTTTAGTACAAGTTGTTTTCAACAACAATGACAGCTACCATTTATATAGTGCCTACACTGTGCTAAGAACTTTACAACTATCATCTTATTTGATCTTCATAACAACCCTCTGAGGTAAGTGCTATTATTATCCCCAGTTTATAGTTGAAGAAACTGAGGCAAATAGGTTAAATGACTTGACCAAGGACACATAGCTAGTAAATGTCGGAGGCCAGATTTAAACTCAGGTCTTCCTGATTCTAGTCCTAGCACACCATCCACTGCACCACCTAGCTGCCTTATAAGAATGTAAGCTCCTTGAAAGGCAAGTACTATTTCACCTTTGTTTTTGGATTTCCAATGCTCAACACACTGGCTGGCATACAATAGGCACTTAATGTTTGTCGAATCAAATGCCTGGCATTTGAAGGGCAATATCTAATTCTAAGTGAAAGAAAGGCTTGGGATAGATGCATTGATCCTAACAGGAAAAAGTGAGTTAAAAAAAAAAAAAGACGCTATTAGCATGGGGCATTCTCATTGGTTGTAGTTCCCTTGGCTGGATGTGGTGGCTGAACTATCAGCTGGTTCTTATCAAAGAGGGTTTTCCCAGTCACTAAACCTTAGCAAACAGGAGCCAAGGCAGCTAACAGGTGACCCTGACTACATGAAGCCAACAAACAGGTAGCAGAGAGAATTTTCATCACCATCTTCACTATAGAGATGTCCAGCAGTAACAACAAGACCAGCAGAGAGGCTTATGATGAAATAACCAAGGGATATCAATAACCCTATAGCATCAAAAGTATGAGTTGCCCTAGTTATATGTGTGTATTTGTAGAAGAATTTGTCCCAAGCTAACCGGGGAAAGACAGATGGTCTGCTGCTAGTTTTCTTACAAAGCTATTCCATTAAATGCCTTTACTTTGACTTTTTCCCCATTAGATTGTGCGCACCTTGAGAACAGGAATTGTTTGGGTTTTGCCATTTTCCCCCCCAGGGCTTAGCCTAGCATAGCACCTGGCACATAGTAGACGCTTAATAAATGTTAGCTGACCAACTTTTATCTGATGTGTCCTCTGGCTGACCAGTAACACATTGATAGGAGAAAAGACATGAGAAGACACTTCCCCCTGTTCCTTTACAGAGGTGGGTGATTCACAGGTATGAAACATAGTATATAACTTCAGATTTTTTCAATAAGTTGACTGGTTTTGCTTATTTTTTTTCCTTTTCTTCCTCTTGTTTTTAAAAATTCTTTGTAATAAGGGGCAGCTCTCTTGAAAGGGGAAGAGATGAAATACAAAGGAAAATCTAGGTGATGTAAAAAATAGAAGATATCAATAAAAATCTATTATTAACCA